ACCCGGGCGGGCGGCGGGCGGCGAGCCCAGCCAGGGCATGGCCGGGTCTGGGGGCTTGTCTGAGGTCGGCCGGCCGGCGCACCCGGGAGCCGGCCCCTGGGCTGCTCGGCCTCCCCGTGCCCTCGACCCTGGCGACCTTTGCCCGGCCCTTGTTGGGAACCCGGGCGCCCGTGGGAACCTCGGGTGGGGCTGGGGGTGGGGGGAAAAGCCTGCACCCGCGCTCCAGGGAACTTGCTCCGCGGGGCCCCTCCTCGTTTCATGCTTTGGGAACGTGGGTCTCGGGAAAAACTAACGTCTGAAGGAGAAGGAATGGGGAAGGGGTCTCCAAGAGCAGGTGCCCAGACCAGGGGTCCACTCCATCCCCCATATGCATGGGACCCTGGGGCTCAGTCTCCCTGTGGGCAGGGCGCAGCGCAGGGTCCAGGGTGACCTGCAAGGCGCAGACAGATGCGGAGTTACATAAGGGAAGATGAGGGGCCAGAGCGGACCCAGCCAAGAGGGGAGCGCTCACCCGGGGCTCAGGCTGCCCTGGCTGAGGGGTGAGCAGATCTAAGCCCCGCCAAGGACACCCCCGGTGGACAGCGCGGTGGGGCGGTTACTGCTGCAACGGACAGACGAGGTCACTGCGCTCTGGGCGCAGCCAGGGTAGCTGCTGCGCTAGCACCTGCAGGAGGGGATGGGGGAGGAGAGACGGGAGGCAGTGCCCCTCCCCGAGGCATGTGCTCAGATTTGCCCCAGGGTCAGGGACAGATTCTGCCTGAGACGCACACAGCAGACAGACAGACAAGCCCACGCTCAGACACACAGACACCCAGGCTGGGGACACATCAGACAGCAGACAGGGAGGGGACAGTGCCAGGGGAGAGCGGCGCACTTCAGCGGGTGCCTCAACGAGGACAGAGACGCACGTGTCTGTGGGGGCGGGGTGGAGGTAGCGGGTGCTGGGGGAGACGCTGCAGACAGGACCCCAGGTGCTGGCACACACTGGCACCCGACACTCACAGCAGCCTCCCAATCACGTGGGGACCCGCCCCTCCCCTTGCCCCAAGTGGTGCTTCTGAATCTCTGGGGAGTGCAGGGCTGGGCTCCCTGTGCTTCCTGCTCCGGGCTGGTTGCAGAGAGGAGCCCCCAGACCCGTGGCCCCAGCCCACCGCATGGCTTCTAGGTGCCTGCTCTGGGGGGAGGGGTTCGGATTCCAGCTCTTCCTCTTCCCAGAAGCCCTCTCTGACCACCTGGCTGTACTCATCCCCTCCACCAGCAAACCTTGCTCCTCCTGCAGGCTCCCCCAGCTTCCCCTCACCCCACCTCAGTGACCCCAGGGGCAGGGGCTGTGCCCAGACAGCCCCTAGTGGTCAAAGTGGGACATTCCTGGAGCCAGGCAGCAAGGAGCTGCAGGGCCCCATCCAGCTGTCACCCCCACCTTCCTGTGGCCTTTGTGGGGAGCCCGGCCCCAGCCAGCAGCTCCCTGCTGAGTGGAGCCTCCCCAAGACCCTGCTCCTCCCCAAACCCACCCCAGGCTGGTGCCAGGCAATGCCCCTGGGCGCCCCCAGAGGCCTCAGCAGATGGTATTGGGTGGGGGTGGGGAGGGGCCCAGCTCTCTCACTCACTGGCTGGGGCCTCAGTGTCCCCAGCTTGGAATGGGGAGCATAAGTTGGGACCCCAAGCAGGACCAAGGGTGAAGGGGCTTGGAGACCCCGCCAGCCATCCTCCCTCCCCACCTCTCCTCACCTGTAACCCACAACTCTCCAGATGACCCTGGCGGAGGGAGCTCTCCTGGTGGTCTCTCTGCCCTGCAGCAGCTGGGGGCAGCCCAGGCCCCACCTGCCCACAGCTTTTCTGGGCAACTGCAGCTGATCGCCACGGTGATGGCAAGAGTCCATCACCGTGTCCAGTGCTGGGACGCTGTGTCCTGCCCGTCGTCTCACTGCACCCTGACAGGAAGTCTGTGGGGGCCCCGGGGTTCAGAGCCTACCCTGGTCCCAGCTGCGTGACCTTGGGACGTCACTGAATTTCTCTGAGCCTCGAGGTCTGTGCATGGCCCAGAGGGCCGACAGTGACCCTGCAGGTGCACAGCCCTGCAGGCCAGACTTGGGGTGAGCACCCATGTGCATGACCTCACCAGCCCTGCCCCAAAGGCGGCAGGCCCGGTGAGCCACCTGCCTGAGGTCACACAAGACTCAGAGCGACTCTCTCAATGGCCACCCGCCTGGCCCAGCCCTGAGGCCAGAAAGTGAACCGGCGTGACCAGCAGCCATTCCCAGGGCCTTGGCCCTGCCTGGACAGGAGCCCGGTGTCCTCTGGGCTGGGGCCTGACATGGCCGAGGCAGTGCCGGGGAAGCTGAAGGTCTGCACATGGCTGTCCACTCTGTCCCCAGGAGTGGCCACCCCATTTGTGCGCTGTGTGCGGAAACAGAAAGTGGCTTAGGCGAGATGGTCCATGGATTCAGGGGCAGTGGCCGATGTCCTGGCAGGCTGGTCAGGGGCCTGCGAGGAAAAGGACCGGACGTGGAGACAGAGAGCTCCGGGCCAAGCCATGTGGACAGCCATGTGACCGTGGGCACAGCCTGTTGGGTTTTGGATCACACGTAAACGCCCACTTGAACGCATCTACCCCAAAGATGTGACATTAGCAAGCCTGTCATCGGCCACCCCAGAGCGGGTGTGATAGCACGAAGGGAGTGGCCACACGGAAGGCCCACGGACTCCCACCTCCCGGCCCCTGCGCAGCTGCTGCCCCTGAATGTCTGAGTCCCAGCGAGAGTCCAGCCCTGAGCCCCACACTGGCTGCGTTCCTCCAGAAGAACCAGTCCCCGCCTGCCGGGGAGTGACTGCCGGCCCCTTCCGCACTGGCCACAGGGCTGCAGACCTGCTCTTGTCCTCAGAGCCCGCACCACAGTCCCGGGCCTGTGGAGTCCTGACCCGCACGCGTGGGGTCCCACATAGCGAAGCACACGTGCAGGACCCACTGCCCAGCAAAGGGGGAGCAGACATGGTCCCATGGCCACAGAACGGCCGTGCTGTCACCTGCCGTACCATCTGGGAGCCGCGGGCCTCACAGGATGTGGGGACAGCCCTTCCAAAGGGGGTAGTAGCCCTTGGGGACAAGCACTGCCCTGCAGGATGTGGATAAGGAATAGAGACCTTTACGCGGCACCGCACCTCCAAAACGACCACGTGGCCAGGAGGTAGGAAAGGGGCAGGAGCCGCCCCACTGGGGCGGCCACTGGGGAGTTGGTGCTTTTGAAACTTTGGCCTCTGCGGGGTTAGAGGTCCTTGTCTCCGAGGGGCACATTCTCACCAGAAGGGTCAGGAAGGGTCCCATCGAACCCGCACTGCGGATATCTCCCAGGCATTTTGAGCCCCTCGGGCCAGAGGACCAGCAGACAAGGAGGGGAGTCACCATTCGTCGGGGTAAGTGGCCCGCAGGGGTGCGCCGGGGGCCCTTGCAGGCAGCACGGCGTCCCCCTGCCTGACGGTTCCTGTGAACGGACAAGTGTGGCCCGAGAAGGTGTAGCAGCCAGGGGCTCAGACCCTCCAAATGAGAGCAGCCCCCAGACCCACAGAGGTGACAGCTGAGGTGGGGGCAGGAGTGGACGGTGGGGGTTGTGCACCAGGAAGGCCAGAGACCCACTGTCCCTGCTGCCTGTCCCTGGGTCTCTCCCAGGCATTATCCCCATAGATCTCCAGCCCCCAACCCCGGCTTGGCATCTACTTCCTGGAGGGCCCACGCTGGCCGGGTTCCGATTTTGAAAGGGAGGTCAGGGGGTCCCCACTGAGCAGGAGAGTCCTGCGCAAAGGCCTGAGAGGAGGGAAGAGAGGGAGGTGGTATCTGGAGGGAACAGAGTTCCAGGCAGAGGGAACAGCAGGCTCAAAGGGCGAGAGGTGGGAGGTGTCTGGTATGTTCCAGGGACAGCGAGGAGGCCAGCGTGGCTGGGGCGCAGAGAGTGGAGGGTGTGGGGAGACCTCTGAGCGGCAGGTCAGGTGGCACCTGGAGCTGTGGCAGGGACGCTGATGTCTTCTCAGGTGAGACGGGAGCTCCAGGGCTGGGGCGTAAGGGACATTTTACCAGCGTCCCCGGCCGTGGTGAGAATGGTCTCTGGGAGGACGAGGGTGGGGGGAGCAGAGGGGGCCTTTGCAAGGATCCTGGCAGGACGCGGTGGCGGCAGTGGGTGGGCAGACCCGGCAAAGCCGACACGCGAGGTTCGAGAGGGGAGAGGGGTCCGCACCGACACCACGGTTCGGGCTCAAACACCTCGAAGGGGGCGTTGGCACGAGTGAGGTGGAGCAGGTCTGGGCTCGACGGCTGCTGGGTTTGGGAGCACCGAGCCGGAGCTGCCCGCCGGACACTGGGGAGAAGAGGTCGCTCGAGCGAGCAGTTGGGGTCTGGATGAAGGGAGCTGGGGCTGCGGCGGCCACGCTGGGTGTCACCCGCATCAGGCTGCAGGGTGCTGTGCCGCACACCCAGGCTGTCCTGGTGGCAGCTGTGCCGCCCGCGTCTCTCCTGCTCGGGGAAGGCCCTTTCTCCCTGGAGCCAGGGGCTGCCCAGAACTCAGCCCCTGCCGTG